ATTAGCTAAAACAATCGACAAGCTCTTAGAAGAACAATTCAAATCATCACTCTTGAATGCAGAGTAAGCTGGCATAAATAATAGCATTGTCGGCGTCATCAACCTATCCTGTCCATAACGGCATAACCATCGTTACTGACGAGACCCCCCGTTTGACTTCGGAGCATCATAGGTTCGAGGACGGTGACTTGGGCATGATTTACGCAGTACCTACAATATGTTCTCCACCCTCAATCACTCTTGCCCGGTATCAAGACTGAGTCAAGAAGACCGGAAGTTTTATGAGGTGCAGTGTCTAACAAGGCTAAATGGCCAGTCTACAGTTGTCCCACACGTCTAGTCTGCGCATAGTGGATCAGGATTTCATGGAAGGAATGAAGGAGCCCTTGAGTCCCAGCTGGATGGGAGTGCCATAGAAATCAGACCAAGAACGAGTCATTGCAGCCTGACTCTCCGTCCTCAGAGAACCAGGTTACCCCGTTAGTTGGCTTTCAGCACGCCATGATAGTTTAAAAACCTGCTTGATTGTTTATAATGCGGAATGTTTATAATGCGCTGAGTGCCTAGCCCCCAGAGTCTATCTCACTCTATATTTACTCTCCTAGATATTATTCCCCTGTTCTAGGTGATAAGCATCTGATGCGGAGATTGGGTAAAAGTGGCGTACAAAGTGGCGTACAAAGCTAAACAACTCATCCACACATGCTACAAGCAACCTTAACTTCCCGAAAGTTTGTCAGCTGTTCTAGTTCCACACGCTATAGATGGCCATTTTGGCTACAGAGAAAATAAGCCAAGGAGTACCCAGGGCATACTGTCACCGCATACATCAATAACTCATCGGCCTGGTCGGCCACTTGTGAATCCATCGTAGTAAAGCTAACGAACCAATATCGGAAGCTCCATAAAAGACCCTTTACTTTAGTTCGACACGGTGCCCGAACGGTTCATGCACACTCAGGCATCATAGAGGCGCACTCGACCGCATGTACTTCTATGAAAATCTGCGGTCAATCACTACAGACCAAACCCCACCACCACACATCGCCCCACCAACATATGCACAGGACACAAACACATTCCACATCACTCTCCATAGGAACGGAATGGGCATCTGTCAGGTAATTTGGAAGTCCTATCCTTGGCTCATTCTCCATTTTATGACTATGCTACCCTAATGCATTTGAGATCTGTATCATCCAAGCCCTTCGTTTAAAAAACTTGCGTGCTGTTTAGGTATCCAGACCCTTTGTGGTTCGTGTAGACTGGTCGTCTATTCGAGTCAGATCATCTTTCTTAACCACGAGGGTAACTTAAGCTGGAAGATATGTAACAGAGAGGGCTAAAGTCTACCCTTACTGTCACCTAAGAACGCAAAATTTTGAAGCAAACAAATTTGGCGAACCTAAGTTTTCCGTTATTTTTTTTCGTCAGGTCTCTGCAATAACATAAAGTGTGTGAGAGCAGCAAGCCTGACAAGTAATAATCGAAGACGTAAGTTCGTCAAACGTTAATCCTCCATTGTTTGTGGGGGAATTGTCACATAAGTGAAAATGAGTTTAAAAATTATTCCGTAATTCCCACGAGGTCGAAGGTCGGTAGAGGGAAAATTGGGCGTAATTAACACGTCAACGTCAAATTGATCTTCAAAAAATATTGGCAAGCAGTTCGGAGAAACATAATTCATAGATAAATTTTAAAAAAATATGACTTAGTATAGAGATACACAAGCGTAATTCGGGGCTAAAAAAGACTGCTACAACAAGTAAAACTACTTGTCAAGCATGATTGGCAGTTCGGGACTTTGTTCCACGTAGTAGTCCAACTTTGCAACCGTCTGCTTCTTTAACTCTCCCTAAAATTTACCAAAGTGAGGCCCACGCCTAAAACGCTGGCAGTTAAAAGAAATTAAAATTGCAAGATTAAAATAGATTTTTATCCTATTGGTGAAGTGAGGACTACGTTTTGAAAGGTAACTAAATGGTAGTTATTTTATTGACCTCAGAAAAAAATAGGAATCATAAGCTTGATGCTGTAACGTACAATATTAACAGCCCAGGTACTAGCTAAAAGACCCAGACACGGGTTTCGCTGGTATTCTGCCGCTGCTTGACACAACTGCGAGGGATCCGGCTCACCAGCGAGTCCGCCAGCATTCTCTATTTGCTTTCTGGTTGATAAACCGGTTTTTCAAGTTCAGCTTTTGAATTTCCTGAGAAATTAATTTCTGTTCGCTGTATACATCAATATATTTAAGGTATATATGCACAGACCAAAATTCTGAGTGTATATTTGGGTTGAAACCCATCAACCACTGCTTAATATACACCTGCTGTCAACGAACAGACTGTGGTAGTGTATACTGATGTTGTAACTTACCATACTAACAGCCCAGGTACTAGCAGAAAGGCCCAGACACGTGTTTTGCCGATAATTAATTTTTAAGGAAATTAAAAAGCTAAACAGAGGCTTCTCATCACCTACACCCGACGACACAGAAAGTGTGTGTGGACTGCGGTATGCATATGTAATGCCAAAAATAAACAAGTGTGTATCTGCTGAGATAGAAACCAGATAAAATACAAAACCCGTATAACTGTCGCATGTTTTGTTGCTGACTTTGGTCCTGGTAGTGTACTTCTGCATGAGATCGAAATTTCAGACAAATAAACAATTGGTTCCGCTGTTCTGTCATTATTTATTTGGAGCGTAAATTGTCTGACTCCTAAAACGAATAGAAGTAAGAACTAGCAGTAAACGTACTAAAATGCCTAATTTTCTGCGACCAGGCTGATAGTAAAACCCTCAATAATTTTCTCTTTGTCATAAAATATCACAAGTTCTCCATGCACAGCAAGTAAAAACGCTCAAGATATTTACAAACCTTAAAGTTTTATTTGGATCCTTCTAATTGCCTATTTAGGAACCAGGCTAAAGAGAGCAATAAGGGGAATAACGATGGAAGCATTATTCGATTTAGATTTTACCATGTGCATCCAGAAGACAACCCGTTCGACGTCCTGACAAATGGACTTGTACGACATATAAAGGTGATTGTACTTCACTCCATGTTCTACCTTCTTGTAAGATGGATGCATCTGGAGGAGATGAACAAGGCAACTCAGCAGATAGAGTTCTTCGAGGGGACGATTATTTTTAAGAAGGGAACGAAGTACCTGGTAAATCGAAAAGGGTCGACATAATCCTGAAACGTTCTTCATCATATTTTACGAATTTGTGCGGATAAACTTTTGAGACTTCGTCACTTCCCTAGTAATTTCAAAAAATTAGAAAACGTACGGTGAAAGTGTGTTGAATCCCCGAAGACATATGAGAATATTGCCGAATTGATCGAGTTTAAGCATTGTTCCATACAGAGTGTCAAACCAAAGTCCTCTAAAGTATAAAAATGATTCAAATAGTCACCCTTTATTTTTTAATGTATTGGTTAAAAAATCACATGTATTCTGTGGATAGTCATATGCGATAAAAGAATGAGAATTACAATAGTTAAGACTTTTTTCAGGCACACTTGGCTGATAACGTATATTGTATCAGCATACTAGGAACTGATTACTTCGAAAAGCTCTTCCAAATATGGAGATATTATATCCCAAAAATGGAGAAGTCTTTGAGTCCATATTTTATTAAATCAGACGTACTAGCCACATTTTTTCCGGATCTACCAGATGCAGGTATATGAGAGTATTAAGATGAATAAGTTACTACCTGATAGTGAATTATCTGTCTGCCGTATGAAACGGCTAATAACCACAGAGGAAAGCCAGCCACAAAACCGCATAACTGCAATACTTTTATAAATAAACCCTGACCAAGTTATGAAAATGCCGAATTGGTCTACAAAACTGTCTATGGCATAGGACGAACCCCTCATAGTAAGAGAATTTCACACAGATATCCCTCAATGCGTACCGCTGAACTGGTACACTTTCGGAAGAATACTGCAGTCAAAATATTCGCGAAAGCTGATGAGACTGGCTTTAGTGCTGTAATGTCCCAACTCCGAGTGCAACGCCCAATCTATCGCCTGTCGCGACTGTTAGCACGTACGCACAATTTTCTGCATACCCCATTCTGGTCTGGCAAGGCATCTTCAAGACTGACCCACGCACAGTCGCGCTGGAAATACTTGTGACCACCCTCGCGGCTGTGGACCCATAAGCGGTCGGCTGCCAACTTTCCCTAAAATACCTTCCATTATCTCTGTAGAGAACATGCAGAGTGTACAAAATATACTATACCTTCCATCTAATGTCCCATTTCTTCTTTTCCCTTTGGAAATAGGCTTGAAGCTCAGTGCGGTAATATTCTTTCCTATTAACTTAAGCCGCTGCAATAGTGTTATCAGGCAGGCTACATCTAATGCCAATTAAAACATTTAAAGAACAATGTATCGTGATTAAAATTGCATGTGCTTCAATTTGCTATGCTTATTCTATACGCAGTTCTGTAGAGATTACTATGCCAATTGGTCTGCCAAAAGTGCTAAAAGTATAACAAAAACGCAAATTCTCGTGAAAGCTAATGTGGTAATTTTATCTGATCAGTGATCCCGTGGTTAGAGAAAGTATAAAACCAGATATAAGGAGGCTGACAGGCAGAAACCCGCAGAGCTTAAATGAAAATTCAAGCAAAAATACGTATAAAAATTAAGTAATTAAGTTATCATACTTGTGCTAAACATTTCGCGTTCAGGAAGGATAGCTCTCATCCCCAAACGTTATTTATTTTTGGTTTTTATAGTTTCATCAAATTTACGCAGCAGCTACAGTATGATCGGTAGCTCGCTGAATGAGTCACCTGTCATTTTCATCCTATTTGCATATAACGCCAGCTGGAGACGGGCTTTTCTGGTTCATTCTGATCTGAGGCAGCTGGACAGGGGTTGGCATTTGTTGATTACTCCTTTGTCTTTAAAGTAGTCGCATATTATCTTCTCCTTAGCATAATATCTGACTGTAACTCTTCTGGCTGGATTGTTTTTTGTAGATTATTATGAGGTTCTGATCTATGTCCCAGTTCTCCAAACTTCATATTTATGTTCCAAGATTGGAAAGTGATTGTCTTTAGAGTACGGATGCCAATGATATGGTAACTATGCATCCCACTAGAAATAAGATGCATCTCCAGTTTCTGAAGGATGTTGCTGTTTGGTCACTAGAAAGTGGTCGTGTAGTTTATAATCAGAAAACAGTCTAGTCTGTTTCTCGACTGCGACCCATTCCCAATCCTAAAGCGTTTGTCATTACTCTCAATGAAAAACCATCTATCCGGTACGTTAGTGTTACTCTGTCACAAACACTCCTATTCCTCTTTCATTAATAGACTCTTTTGACTAAAATTCTTCGATGTACATACTAAGTATATCATTTATGCTCCTATCCCACACTTCAATCACTAATCTAGATATCTATAGGTGCCTCAATTCACTTTCTAATTCTCTAGTTTTCTCATTGTATTTTTCTGTTTTGCTTAAAAACAATCTATGCACCATTAAAGGGGTCCTCTGAATACTCTCTCTTGCTGAAGGTCTTTATTATGTGTTTTATCTGATTTCTAAAAAATATGTTAATTTAAAATCGGCAAAGCAATCTGCTGATTGAATTTGTGGTGACCTTGCTTACCCCTTTAAACCTGAATTAATTGGTGCCAAGCAAGTGTACCATGAATTCCGCCGTAAATCAGGCTGTATATCGGCATGCCAAAGTTCTTTATTACTATTAATGGCACAGAAAATGAAACCCTATCTGTGCCCACAATAATCATACAGTTTTAAGCAAGCCTGTTTGTTGCCTCATCATTTATTTATCAATATTTTCTTTCCGGTGAACGGAGAATGCTTTTTGAACAATGCAAAACTAGGCATTCAAAATAAAGTCTACGTCCTTCTCTCTCGTAAATTTGGAAGACACTTTTTTGAAAACCCTCAGTTAATTTTACCTAAACATTTTAATGAACTTAGTAACTAAATTTCGAAATAGACATAAAAATAACTTGAAAAGTCATCGAAAGTTTTGGAGGGGTAAACACAAAATGGTTCAATAAAAAACAATTCAGTTGCATACCAATGTTGGAAGGCGTACTTAATTATTCCCTCAGATTTCGCATCAGAACCGCTTACCAATTTTATTACTTTGCCTTAGCTAAAGAGCTTAGTAAAATAAATAAGTTTTGAAACGAGAGAGAAATTGGAGATGAGTTTTAAAGCAGATCCGTCAATTAATAACCTAAAGAGTTTCAAATAGCTCTGCATTTTGTAGTTTTTAGAACACACTACTTAACGCAGTTAAGGCATAGCAATCCCAGGATCCAGCAGTTACAAAAAGCTGCAGAGCATGTATGAATTTATCAATCTTTCTTTAGTAAATTCTACAATTAGTTAAACAGATATGTGTAAATATTGTTTTCTCGTGAATTAAGTTCATTTTGACTGATTTACATCTGTATGCTATATGTGTTGTCTATTTTGTCAATCATACACATGACAACTTGCAAATCTTGATCACTTTTATTTTAAAATTCTGTATAACGTATTTATAAATTCGTAAAAATAACGTTAATATATATTTGAGTTCCCTGTCAGCACAATACCCGGATTCACCCGTGCTCTAGACAGGGTAATCCGGGATGAAAAATTTTCATTAACGAATTATATCTACATAGCCCATTTTCAAAATCTACTTTTTTATCAATGTATTATTAATCACATTATACTCCAACAAAACAATCCACTTGGGGTCTAAAAATGAGAACAAGGGGGCGTCCCGCCACGAAAACTCATTCTGGCGACGGTGGTATGGGTTGAAATCCCCGTCCTGAGCCGCGTCTAAACTGGCGATCTTTCCCGGGAGTGGACAAAGAAATCTCCAGATTGGAAGAAGAATCAGGGTGGGGCTCAGGACTAGGATTTTAACCCGCCCCCTTCCCCAGCCGATCCGATTTTCTCCTTTTTAAGACCCCAAATTGATTGTTTTGTTAGCTGATAATGTCATTAAAAATTTATTAATAAAAAGCGGATCTTGGAAAATGGGTTTTGTAAATACAATTCGTTAATCAAAAATTATTCATCCCGGGATTCCCCCGTATTCACCAGGCGCCTTCCGCCGTCCAGTCCGGAGATTGTGCTGGTAGGTTTATGTTTGATCACGCAACCAAAAAATCTGTACTATCCTTTGATTAAATAAGAAATTATGAAATATAAAATTAATGCGAGCACGAATTTAGGAACAGAATGACTTCAATCATACCGAACTGGGAAGGATGGTTCATATTGAAAATTTTTGAGTTCCTGAGGGTACCCAATCTCCACAAGACGATCGCGAAGGATACCAAAGGCCAGTGACTCATACTGTGGAGACTTATAGCCTAAAGGTTTGACTTAAGAGTCAACTGGTACTTGCGAGAGTGTAGTCCATGTCAAACCCAAAAAACTTTATTTTTTCCAGTCTGAGACTTCGGTTAACGAATATTCTTGAAATAACAAAAACAAGCGTAGTACCGATTCTTATCCTGACGTTTGTTTTCCGAATTTTGTAAATTTCCATGAATAACCTCTGCCGTGAGCATCCTCCAAAATGATATTTGACAAATAAATAAATATGTAGCGGAAACTTAACTCGATTACTTAAAAAAGCGCGAAAACGTCAAAAGGGTAGGTTAAGACGGCGACCTTGTCAAGTTGGTGAAGGTTAGATATATACAAGAACTCAAATATACGGCGTTTTGGTGACACTAGTCAAGTCAAGTCAATTTATTAAGGGAAATATAGGCAAACGTCTTTGAACTCCCTATTTTTTAATGATTTTACCGCATTTGTTTGAGCTTACAGCCATCTCTGAAAAGTAAGCAGAAAAGATGTGTGCTTTGCTTATGATCAAAAACTTACAAGGTAGTCAGAGTAAGAAATGACGACAGAGCCCTGAGAGAAATACTGCAGGCCTAAATTGTGGATTGCTTTGTGCTCTAGCGCCCTTCTGTGATTCGTGACTCTAATGGTTGGTTTAAAAATTCTTGCACACCCTTGTTATGGTGTGGGCACCGAAAAGCAGCTTTCTCCCCGAAAACCGTTTCTGGTTATATTTTCTGCTAATTCTACTCTATTTCACTGCAGATGCAGCGAAGGTGAAATAAACAGTGTTTTTTTCGCATTTCATAGCCTTTTACATGCATACGGCATACAGGTGAACAAAACTGTAAAACTTCATTTTTTATGTTGGGATGGCGCCCTAGTCGCTCCAGGCCGAGTGTTTGTTTCAAGAATGGAAATTTTCAAGAAAAAGAGATCATGTCTTAAACGTTCAAAAACTTAATCCAGATCGAAGCAGCCTATTTCTAAGTGTAAAACTTGTGTCTATAGACTACAGCTCGTGATCAATGTAAGGGAACTGGTACTTGTCACAAGAACTGGTTTTGAGGAACCCACACCGAGCTGCACGCCGTAGGTTATTCTCACTTGAGTGATTTTTAATGTCATCTTTGGTCGAGAACTCCAAACTCTTCCTATCGGAGCAGGAGTATTTTAATCGCCCTATAGTTTTAGATTGACCGAATTTGCGGATAGAGAGAACATGAAATGCCTTCCACAAAGGTTTTAAATTCGAAAATCAGCTTAAATATTTCAGCGAGGCGGGATGGAAAATACCAGTTTCATCCACCGTTAAAATGGGGACCAAATGGCTATCTCGTGCAGGGCTATGAGACTGCAGAACACCCTGACTGGCTACATCGACGTCCCAGGTTATCAGGTTTTTTTTTAAATATTCAAATTGCAAAATATATACATAAGAACCATTTGGTGTTAAGTGTGATCATAAAAATATGACAGTTTTGCGTGAGTATCAAGTGCTAACTTACATTTCCCGTAGCCCAGGATAATTTCATCACATAAGTCCGCCAATCTTCCTTGTGAATCATGCATCACTGTTGACCTTACTACATATGTGGGCAGAGAGTTCTATCATTGCACTGTGGCGCAAAGCTAACAATCATGTCCAGGTTCCTTGTTCAGCGCCCACTGCTTCAACGGCATATGTCTTCGCAGACAACTTTTTCCGACTAGCTGACCTGAAGAACCTTGAGCGACCGCAGTCACATCGCCTCGGGCAGTGCAACACACCAATCGCACACCACTTGAATCTGCACCACAATTGTGTAAAAGCAGCCGTCGTCTCTCTCTCGCACGCACACAGACACTCCCTCAGACACGCCTGGATTTATTCAACACCAGCTCTGGTTTTGGCAGCTGCCTGGGAGAGCAACTTCGGGTTTTGCGCACAATAAAGCCCCTAACTTCTTATTTGATCTGATCGTTGTAGTGAACCCAGTACAAAAATTACTTAACCACCATAGCACCACTTGAAAAGAGAAAAATAAGTTCCACGTGTCCAATCATATATTCTAAATGCGCAGGTTTACTGGATAAACTCGGACTTTGGTTGTGATAATGAATTCATTGATAGGTGCGCTTTGAACTTTCCTAAGTGCGCTAACGGCCGTGACCTATAAGGCTATCTGGTAAAGCGAAGTCCAGTTCTTTTCTGAAAGCGAAGGGTCAGGCTGCAAAGGCCCATTCCTTGCGGGATAACTATGTTAATCGCACACATTTGGGATTCGAGCCGCCAATTCCTCGATGATGGGCAAACCTGATACAACATGCCAGGACTGGGTATGTGTACGATATGTGCATTCCATGAATGTAATTTAATCATCTATTGCGTCACATACCGCATTCGGTTTGCTGGACTCTGTCTTAACACCAAGACCCCATGGGTTAGAAAGGAGTGGTCTATACGCCATGCAATTCGTATATAAACCTTAACTACTATACACCAAAATCGCCGCTTGTACACTCAAAATGACGTGCGATTATTTAACAACAGATTCAGGATCGATTAGTGATCTGACTATATTGAGTGTCGTTTCGAACAACTTTCTCCACGACTCCGACACATTACAATCGGAATTTTAGAAACTTGCCGGTTGTTGACCGGAACTATACATTAGTACTAATACAATTTATTGTTTATAATGTCATCTACTTGGGTGGATGTTAAAGGCGGTTTTCGTTAATTATGACGTGGACCGAACCGCAAGTGAGCAAAATTCACACAGGCCATTTGCTTCCGGATATGTGAGGAAAAACTGAATTTCGCACTTCTTTGGTCAATATTTAACTTCAACCGAAATGTAGACTATGGGATTAAGATAACAGTTAGAAAAACTCCTCCGGCTTTTTGTCTAGAGTTTCCCAGAACTGGTGTCCTTAAAGAGAAAAAATTACAGCCTGTTCAATGTCAGTAGTTCGCGATGGTAAAGGATTGCCACAAGTGAACAATGTTATTGGTCTCCCTTACGGGCTACTGAACCCATATTCTGTTACAACGGGGTTGCTAGCTCTCGGCAATAAAATCAACTTGTTGCAGGCCTCAGAGGCAGCAGGATCGGGCACAGGATGAAGCCTGTCACCGGGCTCAGAGTCCAGGCATGCCATTAAAATGGGAGAGAAATTCCACCGAGTCAGCAGAGAATATTCATAACTAGCGCGGAAGCCCGGCTTCGCCTTGGGCTTCCTTACAAGTTGTTGTCC